GAAGCTTACGACGAGTTTGGTCCGACTTGGACCATTTACAAAGGCACACTAACCAGAAAGGGGCAGGACGGCTTTTTAAACGGAGAAGAGGTGGGGTAGTAGTAGTAGTAAAAAGAATGGTATATAATACGAAAAATTGAAATTAAAGATACAGCGCAACACCGGGCATCCCACGTGGGTTTTTCCCACCACCAGCCACTGGATAGCAAAACGCCACAACAAAGACACCCAACGCCCACATGTTCTTAATTTATCAGTTATAATAGTAGGGGTAGTGGTGAAGTGGGAATAAGGAGGACGACCCATTTCAAATACAAAGAAGGGAGCACTGAAGAAGCTAGGTGCCCACGGGGGAGAGCAAGCGCACAGAGGGCGGAAAGGGGAATGGTGAAATAAAAAAGGGAACAGAAACAGAGAAGAAAGAAAAAGAAAACCCCAGAGGGAAAAAGGAAAGAGGAAAGGGAAAGGGAGAAGAAGAAAAAAGAAGAAGAAAAAAATGAGGAGTCAGGTTAAGTAGAGTGTTCTAAAGTTTGGGAGCTTTTACAATGTAGGGAGGGGAAGGTTCTACAAGACAACCCGGGGTAAATTCATACAAGGAAAATGTGTATTAGAGAGGACTTAACTAGACGCGATTGTTCGAGTTGGGAATAGGGAAGACAGTTTTAGCAGAAACCGTCAATGGGAGGCTATGGCAATCTCTGACGGCAAAAAAAGAGCATTATTATGTCGGCAACCCTAACACTTTTTTTGTGCCCCCTAAGTCTTAAAAAGAGATCGCCAGTTTCTCCGAAGTTTTGAAGAGGACAGGAGGGGCAAAAATAGAGTAGACCCCAGGAAATCGTAGGGGGAGGAGGTAGAACGAGATTAGTGCGAAGAGTGTTATTGGGGGAAGGAAACTTGAGTCAAAGGGGACGGAAAAATTTGTTGAATTAAAAGCCCGGAAATGTGGGGAAAAGGCGAGTTCCCTGGGGGGAGGAGTTTGGGGGGGAAGAAATTCATTTGGCACGTGAGAGGGCAAGTCTATGAAATGGAAGGGTGCCAAGGGGGAAAACGAATTATAAGAGTGGAAATTTTTGCTGAAGGGAACTGAGGATCACAGATGCGGAGGACGGAGAAAGGGGGAAATAAAACATTCTTGACAGGGGAGCATGATGGAAAAGTAGTAAATGTACTGCCACTGTGAAGGGTTTTTTCGGTAAAGGGAAAAGGAAAAACCTGTATCTGAGCGGGGACATGGACATAAAGGGAAAGGAAGCAAGGAATTGATTCCCATTCAGCTTTAAACTTAAGGGAAAAGGGGCAAGATTATTAAGAGCTTCAAAAAAAGGTTTGGAAGAGAGGGAGTTATGAGGCCAAGAGCAAAGATGTCATCCATAGCGGAGCGAGGGGAAAGGGTTTGCAAATCGGGGTGTGGACTTTGTAAATGGTCCAAGTCGGACCGAAACGCGTCGTAAGTTCTCTCTTTTACCCCTAAAGGAAGGTTTCCTTGATTTGGTGGGGGGCTCTTGTTTTTGGGAGTTGGATCTGTGCCCCATTTTCCCCCAAATTTAAAAAAAAGGGCCTGAATGCCTTCCACCCCCCCCCAGGCGCTGATAATCCCCCGGGGTTTAGCGCCCCCCTTGATTTTAATTATAATAAATTCTCTCTTTATGTGGGGTTATTTGTGTATCTTTTCCAGTCCGGTATTGTCCTTTTTTGTATTTATGGACCCCCATTTAAGCGTCATTTTCCCCCAAACTTTTTTAAGTTTCCCCTCTTTTAAACCCCCTTTCGATTTTTTTGGGGCTGCTCTTATTGTCCCAGGCGTCTTTAAGAATCAGCTTATTTCCTACGGAACGTTTTGCTGAAAAAGTTCTGCCCCCTTTCCCTTTCTCCATTTCCCTAAAACCCAAACCCACTGGGCACCCCTTTTTCCCTGATCATGCCGTCTCCTACTTCCCCCATTTTTCTACTAAATCACGGGTTTTAAGATGCCTTCTTTACTTTCCGTCAGCGAAAGTGCTCTCTTTGGGGCTCAACCACGGGATCTCTGAAACCTTTCTCTACCCCCTTTGACACTGCCGCCTGAAACACAAATTCATTCTTCCAAACTATAGAATAAATTCAACGTTATCCGCTAGCCTTGGTCAAATTCTCCCTTACTGACTGTGTTACTAACCTGTTTTCTGTTCACTCTTCATATGACTTGAACTTTTTGGTTTTTGGTTTTTCCTTTCCCACTTGCCTCCCCCTGGGTTGGTATTCCCCCTGATTACTCTTTTGTTTCCCTTTTCGTCAATCTCGCTCCCAAAATCCCCGACTTGTCCACTTTTGTGGCGCTCCCCTTTCCCTCCCATGTTAGTCTGTTTTCTAAGAATACCCCCTTCCACCCCGTTACCAACTTCCCCTTTCTTCTCTTAAATCCAAACTAATATTTCAACTATCTTCTGACAAAGGGAATTCGTAGTTTCCTTTATCGTGAGGGTTACCTTCGTAAAACTGATGTTTCCTCTGACTCAGTACCTACACCCTTCATTTCCAACCCTCTTGATCGCATCAAAAAACTTTTAAAAGAAAAAGGACTCTCCGACCTCTTCCTCCTGACTTTGACCTTGTTCAAAAGGGTTTCCCTGTCATTTTTCCCTCTCTTCCCTATTTTTAGGCTTCCCCAAAAATCAAAACCTGTATTCCTCCATCCTATCAACCTCTAGAGGGTTCGTCTCTTATTCCTTGCTTCTTGGCTGGCCAAAACCCTCACTCCCTTTTTTGGGACTTTTTCTCCGCCCCCTCCGTCACTCTCAAGACTTCTTGAGGGTTCCTCTATCCCAAACCCGTAAGATGCTTTGTCTTGACTTTATCCCCCTTTACCAATGTCCCTCTTGATGATGTCCCCTTTATTTTCCTTTTAAAAGAAGGGGCCCTTAAAGGGTTTTTTTCATTTCCCCATACCCACTGATGTCTTTCTTGATCTTATCCCCCTCTGTGTGGACTCTAATTTCCCTTTTCCCTTTCCCAAAGGGGAAAAATTTTCTCAAACCTTCGGGGCGCATGGGCTCTCCCCTCTTCCTGTCCTTGCAATCTTTACATGGAATACTTCGGGCTGTTTTTCCCACCCCCGATGTGCAAAACCTCACTCTGGCTCCGCGTGTGGAAAACATCTTTCTCTGTGGCCCCCAGACTCATTTTTCCCAAACCTTTTCTGAAGCTCTTAAAAATCTTTTCCCCTTCCCTTAGTTTAAACTGAATGGGAATCAATTCATTCTTCCTTTCCTTGATTCCTGTCCACCACTAATACAGGTTTTTCCCTTTTTGTTTAAAAAAATATGCACAGTGGCTGACATTCACTACTTTTTCCCACTGCTTCCCTGGCAAGAAAAAAATTTTTTCTCCTTTTTTCTCCGTGCCCCCGCATCTGTGATCCTCAGTTTCCTTTCCAGAGAAATTTCCACTCTTATAATTCTTTTCCCGTCTTGGGTACCCTTCCCCCTTTCATGCTTGCCCTCTCACGTGCTAAAGTAATTTTTTTCTCCCCAAACTCTTACTCCTGGGGAAATCTTCTATCCTCTGCCCCCCCCACATTTCCGGTCTTTCTAATCTCAAAAAATTCTCTCCGCCCTTAGACACCAGCTTACCCTTCCCCCCGATAACACCTTTGCACTAATCTCGTTTTTACCTTCCTCCCCCTACAATGTTCCTGGTGCACTCTATTTTTGCTCCTCCTTCCTCTTCAAAACTTTGGGAGAAAAGGTCGATCTCTTTTTACAGACTTGGGAGCAAAAAAATAGTGTTTGGCTTGCCAACAAACAATGCTCTTTTTTGTCACGTCAGAGATCATAGCCATCCTATTGATGTCTTCTGCTAAACTGTCTTCCCCCGCTTCCAAATCAACGTCGCCATCTATTTAGTCCTCTCTAATACACAACTTTCCCCTTTTATGAATCTTAGCCCTGGTTCGTCTCGAGATGCCCTTTCCCCTCCCCCTCATTGTAAAATGCTCCAAAATTTAAAACCCGTGACTTAAACCCGACTCCTCATTTTTTCTTTTTTTTTTTCTTCTCTCCCTCTTTCTCTTTTCCCCTTTCCTTTTTTTCCTCTGGGTTTTTCTTTCTCTCTTCTTCTCGTGTTTTTTTCCCTTTTTATTTCACCCCTTCCCCCTTTTAAGCACCTCTTGGGGCCTTGCTCTCCCCCTGTGGGGACCACTCCTTGCGTGTCCCTTCCTTTTTATTTTTACTGGGTCGTCCCCTTTTCCCCACTTTACCACTAACACAATACTTACTGATGAAATTTAAAACACATGGCGGCGTCTGGGTGTCTTTGTTGTGGACGTTTCCCACCCGTGGCTGGTGGAGGCAAAGTCTACAAGGGAGCCCGGGGGGTTGCCATGATTTTAAATTTCTCTGTCGGTATTATATCCATTCTATCCATACTCCCCGCAGGTAGTTTCTAATCTTATGCCCCCTGTCTTGTACAAAACTTTCTTTACTTCACTAAACTAGATTTTAAGAATTTGACAAGTCACTTAACATGTTGATAAATTCATATTTTTTATACTATAAGGTCATAATAATCCAAAAAGTACATAAACTAATTTTTTTTTTTTATTTAATATGAAATGCTAGTAAAATTAATATACTCTATTGAACGTCTTTCCCGTTTACTTAATGATAATGTAACAAAAAAGGTGAACAGTTTTACCATTAATATTCAATTGGCACAAAAATTTTAGTTATTTTTGCATTACCTCTTTTGTTGGAAATTACAAAAAATTAAAATGTACTCTTCACAATTTTTGCTTAAAACTTTCAGGGGTTGTGTGAGAAAGGTCTGGGAGCCATGGAGAATTTCCCCAAAAGAATGTTAGCTAATTGGAAAAGAAACACGAGAAACTAGCAGCTTTTCGGCAGAAAAGGAACAAACTCTTTCTGAAGAAACCAGGCCCCTTTAGTGCTCTGGGTCTATGAGAAAGGCACACGAGTCAGAGGGCCCAAAGGAAATTGAATTTAAAAAAGAAATTTTTCAAGAAAATGCAGTCTGGCCACGACATTGGTGCTATACATAAGGAACATGAGGCAGAAATGGAGGATATACGGCATGAGATTCTCTCCCTCTCCCAGAAGTACTCTATCAAATGCCTTGAGTCTGCTGCACTTGAGGAGAAAGTAGAGATCCTCACTAAGCAGCTGACAGATGCTAACAAACAATTGTTTGATTTAGAAGCCCGTAACAAGCAGCTCAAGGCTCACTTGTCTGCTCAAGTCTCACAACTCCAGGTAAGTTTGTGTATAAGGAAGATTTAACAAGGTTTCTTCTTTTGAAATAAGTGTTAGATTGATTCCTGTAAGATTACATTCCCACATTTTCACCTTACAAAACACTATACATGTATTATTATTCCTATGGAGTCACAACTTTTAGAAGTCAAACAGCACCTGGAAAATAGGAGGTAACCAGGTTTGATTCAAGGAAGGGGAGGGCATTTCAAATTTCTTTAATCAAGAGCCCTCCAGCTTCAAGGCACCTTCCTCTTAAAGGAAGGTGCCTTGTTACTATCACATCTCTACTATATTACATGATACTGTACCATTAGTTTAATACTGGTACTTTAAAATGTAACAGGATGACTCTGGGAGAGACACAACCACTCGGCTCCGTCTACGCGAGAGTGAGTTGGTTCTGCGTAATGAGGAGATTGCACGACTCACCCAGCAGCTGCAACAAGCTCAATCAGTAAGTTAGGCAGATGAAGTGAGCCAGTCAGTGTGAGGTGATGTTAGCCAAGTTTCTTACATTAAAGACAAAATAATTATTAGACTTTTGATACAGTTATATGTAGAATAAATTTTTAGGTGAAAAGTAATTAACTGAAGAAAATGCAAATTATGATTTCTTCTTAACATTTTACAACATTTAACATGGTGTATTACCCTTAGGTAGAAATATTGAATATATAACTGTGACTAGGAGCACTGTAGGACTCTTGTGGTTTAACGTTTAGTTTTGGTTATAATAATAACTGTGATTAGCTTTTTGTAAACCCTACAAATCTTTTTATTTAATATGTTCACTTGAAAATGCATAACTAATAATTTCCTAGTTTTACAATTTGTAAGATTCAGAGCAACAAATCACCTCACACTTAATCACAGCATACAAGCATATATTATACACATCATGTATATAATGAACCCTCTCTTTAACAAGCTATTAGGGGAAAGGGGGTGTACAATATTGATGATTGTCTGGCACTTCCAAATTATGAAATTAATTTTTCATCATCATCCAGTTGAACTAGTGGATGTGGTCCACTGATATAGAAGACAACTACACACTATGAATATAGGTATTATAACCTGAAACACATACATCTTCTTTCTTTCAACAAACTGGCCGTATCCCACTAAGGCAGGGTGGCCCAAAAGAAAAAACGAAAGTTTCTCCTTTTAAATTTAGTAATACAGGTTGACCATCACTAATCCAGCAATCAGTAATCCGGTTCCATCAATAATTCGTCAATAATTTTAGCTAGCATAATTTCAAATTTCCGGGGTCACCACACCAACCTGCCGCTACCGTTTGGTGGCGCTACTTGCTACATAAGTCGTTCCAATTTGTTTTTCTCCATTTATTGTTATAACCTGCTCACTTTTAGCCCTAGCCATGGTTCCAACAAATAAAAGAAATGCTTCTTGTTGTGTAAAGCACATACACCGTACATTGTCCATAAAAGATAAGGTGGCTTTGAAGCCACTGTCGTTTGCTGTGAGCTCAGCTCACTCAGATAAGCTGTGACCAGTAAATTTGGACCTGCATACGAGAGAATAGGGCTGTGTGGTAAGTGTGCACTATATAAAAAAGTCCTGCAGCATGCAGTGCATAATGAGAAAAAAAGGCAACTGTGCTTTTGGTATAAAACAGCGACTTTGCAGTCTATTTTCGTATGGTTTGTATTCTCGTTTGTTTGATCTCATTTGATAGAATGGAACTTATATTACAGAAATAGATATAATTTTGATTGGTTTCACACCAGACAGTACCTTAAAATTGAGCTCAGAGTAGCAGAAATGTTCAATTTTTGCCAATGTTCAAGAGTAAACAAATGACATCATCATCCAATACATGTCCAACTGGATGGTCTAATACGGTCATGAATGAGTTGACATTTTTCGTACAGTAGAGCCCCATTTATATGGCAGGTTAGGGTCCAGGCTACTGCCGTAAAGTGGAACACTTTTTTCCCACTTACAAATGCATATAAATGCTAGTTAACAAGTTTACACTAACATATATTAAGTTAGCAATAGAACTAGGCATTAAAAAGCAATAAAAAAGTAAAATACACATATAGTGCACTCATTACTTACCTTAAAATATTTGTAGTCTTAATGTAGGGTGAGTTGAGTAGTATTGTAAGAATTCAGGTATGGTAGCCAGGCCAGGCCAGGCCAGGCCACTCCCACCCCACCCCAACCACAAGTAATATGCTATGACATTTAAAGCATCCCAGAGCAATAAAATGCATATACAGTTCACTCATTACTTACCTTAAAATATCTGTAGTCTTAATGTAGGGTGAGATGAGTAGTATTTATTGTAAGATATCAGGTGTGGTTGGTATAGTAGCCAGCCAGGCCACCCCCACCCCACCCCACCAGCGGTGGGGAAGGGATGGTGAGATTATTATTATTATTAAAGATTCGCCGGTATTCTCCCGGCCCAGGCTTTTTCCAAGTGGTGGCCCGGCTTTGGCTCCCTCTTTAGGGAGTGTCTGAGACCGAAGTCTCCCATGGGAGGAGTCACAAGTACCTCCTCATCTTTGGGACCAACTGTCCCCAGGCCTAGCCACAAGCTAGGCCTCTCTGGTCTGCCATCCCCGCCCCAAGGGGGCAAATGGGAATGACAGTCTTATGAGCTAAAGGCTCAGGCTTAGGTACCTACCCTACCCTAGAAGGGTTAGGCATGGTATCGATGATGGTGAGATGCGGAGTTATGTAAACAGAAGGTGTCTGGTTTTGGTTCATACACATCTGTATTATACCATAATACAAACACTTTACATTGTGTACAAGTTGTCTCCATGTTGGTACAGTACAATTAATAAAAAGCAACACTCACATTCTCATGTAACACTATTTTTAGAAGAAATGATGCTCTAAGTGAAGGCATACAAAAGAAATAATTTTCTAGTTACCCCAGTAATATTATTGTGTACACATTATCTTTGGTGTTGAACTATATTTGTGTTAATTTATTCTACTGTGAGGTGTATTTAGCATGTTTATTATATAATTTTGAAAAAATATAGATGGATTAATGAAAATGTGTATATTAATGTAATATATGACATATAATGTGCCTCTGAGTGAGTATTATTATTATCATGATCAATATGGCATTCTCGAGACATAAGATACTCTTAGTGATTTTAATGTGTTCCTGCACACCAGCACAGTATGTAAGTTTACTTAGGTACAGATACACATCAGTATTATTATCAGAGTACAGCCTTTCCTCACCGAACGATGGAGTTCTGTTCCTAAGACCACGTTGGTAAATAAATTCGTCGCTAAGTGAGGAGCATACTATAATAGTAGTAGGTTTGTGTCAACCATCTTTGATATTGTTTTAATGTCAATTTGCACCATTTATAACATTTCTGTTATATTTTTAAATGTTTATACAGTAGTGTACTATATATTGTAATAAACAGAATAGAGGCAATCAGCTCTAATATACATTATTTAGGTGTGCATACTGGTCAGAGAGCTCGTCATAAGTCCGAGTCGCCGGTAAATGAGTACATCGCTAAGTGAGGAGAGGCTGTATTTATAAAATATGAAATAACTTTAAAACATTTGAAATTTTGGAAAGTTTCCAGACATAATGGAGAGACGCAGAGCTCACGGAGAATGTAAACAAACTGGGTGGTGTGATGACTGTATTAGAAAGTCAGGTGGGAGAGCCCTATAGCAAGTTTTGGTCCTAATTTGAAATGTCCGTATTAGCGGAATGCCATGAAACAGGGCCCTACTGTACAATTATTACAATAATGCAAAAGTCTGCATAACAATAAATTTTCTGTTTATTGTTTGAATAAAAATTCAAAATGGAAAGCAAGCGTAATATAAGAGGGGCCTGGAAATATCACTAATGAAGAGAGAAAATGTTATTTTAGTGCTAGAAATGTCTGCCTTGTTTATTTTGGACCCTATTTTGAAATTGGCATCTCTTGGAATTTGTGTGAAATTGGCCAAATTATCGATTTCTGACCACTACTGGGTAGTTAAAAAAGGTAAATGGGCAGTTTCTTGTACTCAGTCGACAGAATGAAAGGAATACTAGCAAAATATCTGAGTTTGGTAAACTGGAACAATGGAATGGGTCAAAAATAGGGTGTAAAGTGGGTGAAATTGCCGATGTGTAAATATCACCATTGGGTTAAGTGTATTCTAACCTAACCACTCTGTAATCTGGGAAAATCACTAATCCAGCACCCTACAGGCCCCATTTATGATGGATTAGTAATGGTCAACCTGTATATACAGGAGAAGGGGTTACTAGCTCCCTTGCTCCCAGCATTTTAGTCACCTCTTGTGACATGCATGGCTTACAAGGGAAGAATTCTGTTCCACTTCCCTGTGGAGATAAGCAGAAATAAGCAAGAACTTATAAGAAAATAGAAAACCCAGAGGGGTGTGTGTGTATATATATGCTCGTACATGCATGTGTAGTGTGATCTAAATGTAAGTAAAAGTAGCAAGACATACCTGAAACTTGCATATTTATGAGAGAGAAAACGACACCAGCAATCCTAATTACAGGTTTCTGTTTTACACTCACTTGGCAGAACAGTAGTACCACCTTGGGCAGTTACTGTTTACCAACTTACTACCTCTATTTTTTTTTCTTAGCATGTCAGCCGTTTCCCACCGAGGCAGGGTGACCCACAAATAAAAAACTTCCTTCCTTCAACACTTTAACCATCATTCATACATAATCACTCTCTTTGCAGAGGTGCTCAGTTACGACAGTTTAGATGTCACTCCAAACAGCCAATATCCCAAACCTCTCCTTTAACCTTTAAACTGTCCAAACATATCTATGTTCACATGTGTAGTGCTCCAAAAGTAGATCTATGTTTTTTTACATATTTTCAAATATAACAAAAAAAAAGTAGATCAAAGTTTTTTTACACGTTTTCAAAAGTAAAAAAACGAAAAGAAGATGTACGTTTTTTTACATACTTTCAAATGTTGAAAAAACAGATCTACGTTTGGACAGTTTAAGGGTTAATGTGCAGGCATTGTACTTCCCACCTCCAGGACTCAAGTCTGGCTAACAGGTTTCCCTTCACAAAATATTACTCTGCTCACACTCCAACAGTTTGTCAGGTCCCAAAAACCATTCATCTCCATTCACTCCTATCTAACACGTTCACGCACGCTTGCTGGAAGTTCATGCCCTTTGCCCACAAAGCCTCCTTTACCCCCTCCCTCCAACCTTTCCTAGGATGACCCCTATCCCACCTCTTTTCCACTACAGATTTATACACCCTCCAAGTCATTCTACTTTGTTCCATCCTCTCTAAATGACAAAACCTCAACAACCCCTCTTCAGCCCCCTGACTAAGACTTTTAGTAACTCCACACCTCCTAATTTCCACACTACAAATTCTCTGCATAGTATTTACACCACATATTGCCCTTAGACAGGACATCTCCACTGATTCC